TTAGAGAAAATAAAGGCATATTTCTTAAGTTCCGGGAGTAATATTCTCTATAGCTACTAAAGCTCTATTTCTCCCGGTTATTAATTCTCTAGGCTAGGGATAGCTTTTTTTTCCCGAGCTTTAAGCTTTTTATTAATCTTATAAATAGAGATTTAACTAATAATAATATCTTTTTTCTTGGCTATATAGTTAAATACTATAGAAACAAGAATAGCTAGGTCTAATATTTGCTTTTTATTAAAGACCTCTTCCTGCTTCTTTAGCTTTTACTTAGGTATTATATCTTAATTAGGCTATAGAAGCTTCTTTTCTATAGTCTTATATAATTTCCTCTAATTAGTCCAAAAAAAGAAAAACCGCTTTAGAATAAAAGATTTCCAGAAATAGCTTATAATAAAATCTCGTTAATTAGTATTCTTTTAATATTTCTTATTAGGTTACTTCTCTAGTTATTACTATAAAATACTAATAATATAACCGAATTATATAGATTTAGGCTTGTTTTTTGGTTATATAAGCCTATATCTTCTATAATTAACTAGAATATTAATATATATTACTTATTTCCTATTAAGAATAATATTATAATCTCTAAGATTTAGGATAATTATAAGTATATTAATACTTTATTTATTAATTAGAAATAAGACTTTTATATATTTCTTAGTAAACTTAGCTAGCTTTTTATTAAAACCATATATAATATAGGGTAAGAGAAGGAATTATGATTTTATTCCTAAGAATTACTCTATAAGCTAAATAAGCTTTATATTAATAAAAGTATAATTATTAGCTTTAGTATTAATAAGGGAAAAAGACTTAATTCCTAATTTATTTATACTAATAATATAAAGTATTATAAGAGTATTTCCTTTTATTAGATAAGTTAAGTTAATTTTTACTAAATCTATATTATAAGCCCCTAAAATAGAGACTTTCTTTAGGAATACTTATTTCCTAGTTCTATATTAGAATTAGAACCCGAATTCTCTAAATACTTTACTAGAATAATATATTTTAGTAAAATAGGAACTAAGCCCGGTTTAATTCTAGAAAGAGCTATCTTGGTTTCCTTACTATATAGAACTAGATAGTATCTAATATAGTAGCTAAACTCGTTATAATTATAGTATTTAATAATCGAGAAATCCTTAGTTTTTATAGGATATTACTTATACTTATAAGGAAATACATACTTAATAAAAGTAATTAATATAGGCTTCTTAGGCTTCTTCTTAGGAGTATACTTCTTAGGAATATATAAGAGTATAATACTAGAAATAAACTTGGCTGAGATAGCTTCTGTTTTTTTATATTTCTTAGTTTTCTTATATATAGCCTTAATCTACTAATTATTAGTAATATAATACTAAGTAAAGCAAGTAGTATTAATAAAAGAATTATTATAGTATATATATACTAATTCCTAGAGCTTTAGTAAAGCTTCTTATTTAGTTTATACTTAATATCTTAAAGACTAATACTGCTTTCTATAAATAGTTATAAGAAAAAAGTATAGAATTCCTAAAATACTTAACTAGAATATATTTAAAGCTTACTAAAGTTATAGTAAGTATTCTATATCTTATTAGGATTAGAGTATAGCTTCTTTAGGTAAGAATTAAGCTCTAAAAGCTAATAGTACTAATTCGGACTATTTTTATTTATATAAGAATTAGTTAGGGCAAGAGTATTACTAGTAAATCTACTAGAAATATAAATAATCTTGAGATTTTCTAAGAAATATAAATTAGTATTTCCTTAGAGCTTATTCTTAACCTAAACTAGCTAGTTATTAAAGATAGTATAATCTCTAGTAAAGAGAATTAGATCTGGGAGCTTAGTAATTCTAGTATTTCTAAAAAAAAGTATAAGATATAAGAGATTCTGGACGAGAATAAATAGGAAATAGTTCGGAATTCTTTTAAAAGGAATTTAAAATAGCTAGAGCAGGTAAAGTAAAAGTAATTAGAGCTACTATAAGCCGATTTACTATAGCTATATAATATTTAATATTATTCTCGAGCTTAGTATTATAGAGCTTAGTATTCTTGAGAATAGCTTTATTATAGCTATAGGTATTCTTATATAAAATAGCTCTTTAAATATTTTCCCGGTAGCTTTTTATAATAATATTAATATCTGAGAGTAAGGTATTAGGTTCCTTGGCCTATTTATATAACTCTCTAGTAGTAATATAGTCTTTAGTTTCCAGAAGCTTTATAATAAAAGTAAAAAGTTCTATTTCTATAAACTTGTTTATAAATTCTCTAGAAATACTAATGGGATACTTGGTTTAGGAAGGGCCGCTAATAGGATAACCTAAACTAGCAGGAGCTTTACTAGAAGCCTTAATAAAAGTTAATATAATTCCTGGTTATATAATATTCTAGGAAATTAACCTATTATACTTTTCCTTTATTATATCTTCTCTAGTAATCTCATTACCGGTATATATATAGGGCCTACGAGATTATAGGATAGGGCTTAAGGGTAGTAGTCAGGTTACTGGCCTATAAGTACTTATTACTTTAGGACTTAATTAAAGAATAGCCTTTATTCGAGATTCTTTGATTTTCGGGTTTTTAGAGAGATTTCTAATATATTACTAGTATATATTTATAAAGATATAAATACCTGATTTCTCTAAGGGTTCTAAAGCTTTTTGCTTTTATTATTCTAGAGTCTATTACTCGTATTTCTGAGATTCTATTATCTTGGTAGTACCTATATTACTAATAATTCTAAATTAGTTTATTTAAAATCCTTTATAGGATTAAAGGAAGTAAGCTTTAAATACTATTACAGATACGGTATTTAGGGCTTGGAAAGTAAGATAAAAGGTCTCTTATAAAAATGATTCAAAGCTAAGAAAGAGAAAACTAGAATATAGGAGGCTGCAAGAGAGTATATATACCCTATAATATGCTAGTCCCGAAGGGGCTAGCCTTCTAAATATCTCTAGTATATTCCAAGCATATTTCCCTAGTAAGGCGGCCGTATCACGTGTGCCTAGAAGGCATCTGATATCTGGCGAGGTATCTCAGATACCGGGTATCTGGGAATTATAATATAAATAATAAAAAGAGAAAATCTAGACTATTTTTTATTTTAATTTTTTTAATTAATTTTTTTCTTTTTATATAGTTATATCTTTTTAATTCTAGCTTAATAATTAATAAACTATATATTAGAACTCTTAAAAGTATTTTAATTATATACTTTTATATTATTTATATATAAATAAAAATAAGATTATAAAAAAAGAAAATAATTATATATTTAAAATCGAGAAATTAAAGAATTATATAAATTACTATATTATAATAGTACTTTTAAAAGCAGAATATACTAATATTAAGTAATTAAAGAATATATATTAAATAGAGAAGAAACTAGAAGAGTTTAATATTATATTTACTAATATCTAATTAAAAGAGTTTATAGATATAAGATTTTTATTTATTAAAAAGAAGTATTTTCTAGAACTTATTTAAACTAGCTTTTAAATATTTAATTAAATAATTAAAATATTTTATGGCTATATTATTATTTATATATTTAGTAAAAGTATATTTAATATATTCTATACTAATTAGGTTTTTTAATAGCTAATTATTTATAAAAATTTTTTAGAAGTAATTATAAATAAATAAAGAGATTTATATTTATTTATATAAATAGTTTTAATTATTATAATTAATTTATAATTCTTAGAACTTATTATATATAGCTATTTTATTTCTATAAATATAATTATATATTTATTAATAAAGTAACTAATACAAGCTCCTAATTTATCTATATTTAAAATATTCTATCTTTTTTAATATAAAGCTTCTTTAAAATATCTTAATATTTCTGAAACTATATTCTAATATTTTCTTTTATATAGAACTCGAGTTATATATATAATTAGCTTTATTTTAATTATATAAAGTATCTTATAATTCTATATCTAGAGGCTAAACTAATTAGCTAAAAGAAGTAGTTTTAGGAGAGATTTAGCCTAATTATATTAGATATATTATTAGATTTAAAAGAAGTATTTATAGTCTTTAAATAAATAATTATGGCTTGAATTATCTAATATATAGTACTCAAACCGGCCTTCTATTACTTGTAGTAATATTACTAAATTGCCTTCTCTTATATTTCTTTTAGGATCTTATTATTACTATTATATATATTATAGAATTCTTAGAAGTTTCTTTTTTTATTATATTTGCAAAGTACTATTTTTATAAAGAAGCTTTCTTAATATAATATATTCTTATAGTAGTTATTACTAAATTATTATTATTTTCAAGGTACTATTTATAGGCATTATTAAAAATATAGTAGTAATTAGTTTCTATAATATATAAATAATAGAAATACTTTTAAGATATTTCTCTAATTCTAATAAAATTAAATAAAAATATATCTATTTTTGAAATCTTTATATATAAATTAAATAATAAATTAGTTAATAAATTGAGCCAAATACGTAATTACAAGACGCGTTTTTTTAGTGAGAATTATATATAAATTTTAGGGCCCGCATTTTCTCGGTAGAATACTTAATTAAACGAGATACTTGCTTATTCCGACTATAAGCAAAGCGCAGTAGGAAGGGAACCGGCTATTATATATTAAAATTTATTTATATTAATTAATTTAAATTATATATTATTATTAAAACTTACTTTAATTAAAGTCTTATTTTCCTAAAGCTTAGCTCATTATCTAACTTGGACCAAGAATAATGAGAATTAGTGAGCTCAGATTATTGATCTGATTTGACTAAAGACAATGAGTATCAGCGTCAGCTTTTATAGCCACTGGGGGGGGCGAAGCTCGGATCGTTAGCGGGGTTCAGAAAGCTGTACCCCTCTTGTGACTTTTATCCCGATTCTCGGCTGCTTAGTAGCGTTGAGCTGGCGGAGAGCCGAGTTCTAGCAGCTTTGTTGTGAATTTTGTATCAGAGAGGACTTCATTATCCTTTGTCAACAGGGACAATGACAAACCGCAACGTCCAAGCCATGGACGAGGCACGACGAAGCGCAAGCTTCGACTCAAAGAAGATGGCCGAGGCCATCTACGGAAGGTAATGTACCACCCCGTGCTGTACATTGGCTTTTGCTGATCAAACTCCCTCATTTGCAACAGAGAAGAACACAACCGCCACATTACAGCTTTCCAACGGGTTGAGCAAGCCCTTGACACCGCGGACAACATGAAGCTCCCCCCTTGTTACCGCGACATGAATCGGCAAGAGCTCCTTCTCGAGGGTCTCCGGACCGGAAAGGTCGTGTACGAAGATGGTGTAGACAACAACTGCGGTGTCTTCGAATATGTCACACATCACGGCAGCCTCGCGAATGCTAGCCCCTTCGGTCTGATGCGCTTCCTGTTCATCCCTCCCGTCAAGCAGCTGGGCACAGACGAGCAAATCGCTCAATGGGTCCCACTCGCCGAAGCAGGAAAGATCATTGGCTCGTACACGCAGACTGAGCTTGGCCATGGTACTCAAGTTCGAGGCATTGAGACAACTGCTACCTTCGACAAGGAGACGGATGAGTTTGTAATCCATTCTCCAACCTTGAGCTCGACTAAATACTGGCCTGGAGGGCTGGGTGTTGTCTCGACGCATACGCTTCTGATGGCGAGAATGATTCTTGATGGGAAGGATCTCGGTGTTCATGCTTTCATCATGCAGATTCGGTCATTGGATAACTTCAAGCCACTGCCTGGTATTGAACTTGGTGACATTGGGTATGTCTTTCCTTCAAACATTGAGAACCATCGCTGACATTCTCCTCTAGTATGAAGATGGCATACAACGGCACTGACAACGGCTATGCAATCTTCAATCACGTCCGTATCCCGCGCACAAATCTCCTGATGCGTCACTGCCAGGTGGCCAGAGACGGATCGTACACTTCAAACCCCCTCCGGCAGAAGCTGGCATTTGGAGGCATGCTCAGTGGTCGCGGCATCATCGCCCGCGCTGCTACCTTCCAGCTCGCTCAAGCTTTGACAATCACCACTCGGTACTCGGTCATTCGTCAACAAGGTACCCTCTCCCCTCTTGGGGAACCAACTGCGATCATAGCCTACAAGCATCAACACTCGCGGCTCCTCTCCCTCATCGCAAAATCATACATTAGTCTCCTGGCCTGGAAGAGCGCTAACGCTGCCTCCGCTGACCTCAAATCCCGCCAGGAGAGAGGCGATCATAGCACACTGCCATATATCCACATGCTGATGTGTGGCTTGAAGGCATGGTCTACTCAAACAGCAGCTGACGGCGCCGAAGAAGCTAGGAAGATGTGCGGCGGCTATGGATACCTAGCTATCTCTGGCTTCCCGGAAATCGCCGCGTCTGTCACCGCGACCTGTACTTTCGAGGGTGAGAACTTCGTACGGAAAGCCGTAAGGATCAGAAGACCAAGCGATTTTCGAATCTGGTTTTCGACCTTCGATGTCTGATTTGTGGCACGTATACACCCCACCAAAAATCGCCCGCAACCAAAATACTGTATTCTGCAGGCATAACCACACCTAACTTAAGTCCCTTTATTACTATCTATTATAAGACTCGTATATATAATTAAATTATATTTCTAAGTATAGATAATTTATAATATAATTAATTATAATATTTCCGAATTATTCTTATAAGATTATATTAGCCCTATATTATTACTTATAATATTTCTTTGCCCCTTCTCTTTACTCTTACTAATATATAACTAGCTTTATATATATAAGATATATATAAAAGAACAGACTTATATTAGATTAGAGAATTAGTTATAGAGAATATACTTGAAATAGCTAGTTAGTAGAAGGTATATCCGAAACTAGTAAAAATAAGTCAAGATATATAAAGTTACTAGTTTATAGGAGGCTTGCCTAAAACTAGTAATACTAAATAAGAATATACTTAGAGTAGCTAGCTAGTAGGAAGTATATTTAAAACTAGTAGTAATAAATAAAGATATATATAGAATTACTAGTTAGTAAGAGGTATATCCGAAACTAGTAATAATAAGTAAAGATATATTATAGGATAATTTAGTATAAATCTATATCTAAAATAGAAATAGATAATCTTACTAATTCTTTAATATAGAGGGGTTTTCCTATCATATTCTTATTTTCTAGATTACTATTTTTACTTTCTTTTATTTCTATTCTTAATTTAATTTTTTTAAAACTATCTTATCTAAGACTTTATATATTATAATACTATAGCCTACTATAAAAAGTACTAAAAGCAGAAGGGTATTAGCCCTTTTTATAGCTACTATAGTACTATCTTTCTCTTTTTAAGCCCGACTAAATCTACCTTAGAGAAAAAGTATTTATAGAAGGCCTATAAGCTAAAACCAAAGCCTTTTGCCTCTTGTATTTCCAAGAATAATAAAATAGATAATAATAATAATAGTACTAAAGAAATAGGTACTAGAAATTAGTATACTTATTAGATTAAGTTCTAAAAAAATAAGAAGAAAAGAAAAAAAGAAAAAAAGAAAAAGTAAATAAGAAAGAAAAAAGAAAGTCTCTAAAGAACTATTACTAGAAATACTTTTTATAGTATATAGGAAAACGACCTCGCCTTTATTAGAAAGAAGAAAAAGAAATTAAGGCTTTAAGAAAGTACTTTAACTAAGGCTTATAATTAGTAAGAATTAAAAATAAAGAAAGATAATAAGAGAAAGTATAATAAAGAAAAGCTAACTAGTAAATATAGCCATAATCTTACTAATAAGCCTTTACTAATAGGCTTATTAATAACTATCTATTACTATATTAGCTATTCTGGAAAGCTATTTAAGTAAATTACTTCTTTAAAACTCCTATTTTTTCTCGATTCTTATAAGATATTTGTAAGGCTTAATAGCTAGATATTTAATTGCCTTCTAGAATCTAATATTTGAAAAAATATTAGAAGAACTAAATACTATAAACTTAATCTTAAGAATTAAAGCCTAATTATAGGCTATTTTACTAGTAGGATTACCTGCTCTAAAGTTCCGGACTTCCCGGTTCTATTTAGAGAAAATTATACTTTTAAATAGTTCCTTAAATATATAAAGAAAACATATCCTAATATAAACTATTAAGAGCCCAAATTCTACTTCCTTATTCCTATTAAAAAAAAGTAGCCTCTATAGGATTATTAACTATATAAAAAACTAATAGTTAATTTAATAATAATCCCTAATACTAATAACTTATTAAAAACCCTTAATACTAATAATTCTAATAGTAATATAATTAGAAATAATTATATATCTAAAAAGAAGTAGTATTAGTATTAAAGTACTAGTAAATAACTTAGTATTATTTATTAAGAGAACTATAAGAGATCTAAGTTTCTATAAACTCTAGCTAGTAAATCTATTCTAGCTATTAAAACTCTAGTCTATAAGCTTATTCTAGTTACTAAAACTCTAGCCTATAAGACTATTCTAGCTACTAAGCCTATTCTAGCTAGTAATTTAGAGAAGCCCTTTAATAAGGTATTTAATAAATAATATAAGTAGCTAAAGAAATCTATAATAAAAGATTATATTAATAGGTATTAGTATATATTAAAAAAGGGGCTAGTAGATTCTAAGAAAAAAAGAAGTAATTTAAGACACGAAAATAGAGCTTTAAAAAGAAAAGAAATACGGTAATTAAAAAAAGTAATACCTATATAAATAAGCTTAATAAAAGAGTACGGCTTTTAAAAGCTATAAGAAAGAAATTTGAAATTAAAAAATAAAGTCTTACTAAAATCTATATAAAGAATCTTAAAGAACTAAATATAAAAGATATTTTCTTTTTTTTTAGGAAATTCTTAAAATAAGATAATTAAGAGGAAATAATTATTTATAAATTTAAAGTATCTTAATAGTTTTATAAAAAAGAATTTGGAAATTACAGACTTATAAGAAAAAGTAAGGCTTATAATAGAGGCTCTTTAATAAAGTCTTAATTATATGGCACGAAATAAGAGGGGGCTTAGTAAGCTAGTTATTTAGTAAAATAAAAGTAAAAGCTTAATATCTATTATATAGGAAGCCTTTTAGGTAGCTATATAAAAGATCTAGGGTAAAAGCTCGGGGTTAGTAGTACTAATAGTTCAGGAAACTTAGGGTAAAGGCTCTGGATCTCTCGAGATAGCTAGGCCTAATATTAATAAAAGCTTTTTATAGTTTACTAAAGATAAGGGGAAAATATATAAATAATAAAAAGCTATCTGAATTTCCTAGTATTATTAAATTAGTTATATCGAGAATCTTATTACTCTAGTAACTAATTAAATTAGAAATATAAAAAGTAATATTTACTTATTTCTAATTAATTAATTTCTAGTTAATTTTAAGAACTTGGAAATTATATAGTTATATATCTTTTTTCTCTAGCTATATAATACCTTAAAAAACAGATATTATATATCTATTATAATAAAGGGCTTTATTATTAATCTAATTAGATAAGGTATAATACTACCTTATTATATTACTAGCTATTTATATAGCTATTTTATAAATAATTCGAGTAAGCTTTAATATTCTCGGATTTCTATATATAGCCTAGTCTATAAACTAAAATAGCTCTATATCTAGTAGTACTATAATTTAATTTTTAATATAAAAATAATTATCTTATTTTAATATATTTAAATATATTAGGTTTGGTTTTTTTAATAATATTATTATTAAATTATTATTTTCTAGAAATACTAAATAATACTTTTCTCTAAGAAATATATATTCTTAATAAATAGTAAAAGTAAATATGGAATTTAATAATATAATTACCTTATACTAGTACCTTCTTTTTTTATAAAAGTATAATTCTATTTTATTTTTATTTTAAAACCTCTATTCTTTTTCTATATTTTTTCGACTTTATTATTAATACTAAAAACTAGTATCTTATTACTCTCTACTAATACTTTTATTAATACCAAGAACTAGTATCTAATTACCTATAACCTTTTTCTTTCTTTCTGAATTCCTCTTTCTTTAAATCCCTTTTCCTTTAACTTCTTCTTTTCTAAACCCCTTTTTCTTTAAATCCCTTCTTCTTTAATTCCTTCTTTTCTAAACTCCTCTTCCTTTAACTCTTTCTTTTTTAAACCCCTTCTCTTTTAAACTCTTTACTAATAATATTAAGAGCTAGTACCTAATTATTACTTCCGGATAACTTTTATCTGGAACTCCTATACTATAAGTCTTTAACTTACTTACTTCTTAGAAAGCTAAATTTTAGATTTCTTCTTTCCTTTTCTAATACTTCTTATATTTTTAGGCCCTTTAGAAATATCTTCTTTTAAACTTCCAAAAAAAGGCTAACTTCTATTTAGATTTCTCCGAACTTTAATATCTTTTTCCCTTCTCTAATACCTTCTTTCTTTATTTAATACTTATAAAAGCCTTTGGGCTACTACTAAGTATTTCTATTCTTTATCTTAAAATATATACTAACTTATTCTTATAGAAAATAGCCTTTCTTTTTCTAATCTTAATTTCTTTAATATATACTTCTTGTTTTTAGGCTATTTAGATATTTCCCTGTTTTCTTTTATAAAATATATACTAATTTATTTTTTAGTTCTCTTTACCTTATCTTTCTTACCTTATTTCTTTTTTAATATTACTATATATATATCTAGTTAGTACTAGTTCTTATAACCTATAGTTAGGCTTTCTATTTATTAAATACCCGGATATTTTATTTTATTTTTATTTTATATATTTTATTTTATATACTTTACTTTTCTTTTATTATAGGTTAGAACTCAAATAATATTTATCTTAAATACTTATATTCTCGGATATATAAGACTTCTATAAATCTTTTAGGATTATAAACTAGCCTACTTTAGTTCGGGAAAACTTTCTTAAAAATATTCTAGAAGTTATAATATTTACTATAATCTCTCCTAAAAATTAATATAATATAGATAATTCTGGTTTATTCTTTTTTTATAAAGCAAACCGCTACCTTAAGTTCATATAAAAGTCCTAATTATTTCTCGAGTTAAAATATAGATATTTCTTATTTCTATTAAATTAGGTATAAAAAATAGCAGGCGCCTTTGGGCTAGACTATAGTACTAGTTAAGTACTAAAATCTTTTATATCTTACGAGATATTACTTATAGCTCCAGATATATTATATTTAATAGGGCTTCTATATCTAATTATTTTATATTATAATAAAATATATAGTATTATAATTAGGGAAGTTCTATTTTATAATCTTATTTACTACTTATAGATTTTCTAGCTAATAAGTCTTGGCTAATAACTAAGAAACTTATTAGCTATTTTATCTAAAACCTCTAGAAGCGAGAAGTTGTTTTAATAAAGACTTAGTATTAAAAATAAGTTTAACTAATTAATCTAAATAAGGAATTTATAATAGGAATCTCTATATATAAGTAATTTTATATAATAAACTCAAGTTCCTATTTCTAACTATATAAGTAAGCCATATAAGAAACTCTTTTTAACCTATTAGAGTAGTTCCTATTTCTAGTTATATGAGTTATAATATATAATAAACTTAAACTTTTCTTGGATTATTTTTAAAAGAATTAGTAAGCTTTTTTAGATAGACTTATTAAGGCCTTAGTTTTTAAAGATATTAGTCTAGCCTTCTTACTTCTTTCTTAAATAATAATTTAGCTCTTAGGAATTATATATAAATATCGGAATAAATAAGAAAATATACTATATATACTTTCTAGATAAATTAGAATAGAACCTATAAAATTCCCGTAATATTTATATTAAATTTATAATACTAGCTAGTAAAGACTTTAATAACCTTAATAAAACTTAAATTACGAGCCTAGTCCTCAGATTTCCTGCTTAACTTTAAGATTAAGTAGTCTATAATAAATTATCTATTATAGAATATATTATATTTTTTTCCTAAAAAGTATTAGATATTAGTAATAATCCGGATATCCCAAAGCCCTTAAGACTTTTTATAAGTTTCCGGCTTTAGGGCATTTTTATAACTAGCTAATTCTATAGAGTTATATAATTACATAATCCCTTATATTAATTTAAAGGAATTATATCTTTATATATAGCTATAATATTACTTTTAAGGAACTTAGTATAAATAAACTTTTATAGCCCAAATATTAGTTATTAAATAAGTTATTTAAGATTTCCTTATTTTCTAAATCCCCTAAATTATTCTCGTATTATCCCTTATTATTTATAAAAATCTTACTATTAAGATTATTCTCTTTAATATTCCCTAGTTCTCGATTTGCTATAATTATATCTTCTAGTTTCTATTCTGCTTCTCGAACTATCTCTAATTACTTATTCTCTTTATAAGAAAACTTAATATTAAATAAGAGCTTTCTAACTCTTTTCTTATAAAGTTTAAAGATATAATAAAGGAACTAATATGCCCTAATATAGTCTTAATCTAGCCCTGCTTTAAGCTTATTTATAGTATATATAATACTAGTATTTTTAAGAAAAATTATATAAAGCTCTTTAATTTCGGGAATTTAATATATTATATAATTATATCCCGTAACTTCCTCTTTAAGTTTAGAAAGCAATTACTTAGTTACTCCTATTAAGGAAGTACTATAATAACAAACTTCCTAATAATAATTATATAGCTTTTCTGGAACTCTAGGCCAGAGATAATTAGCCCTTGCTTATTAAAAGCAAATCGGACTAATATTATAAAGGAGAATAAAGTTATTAAACTATTAGTAAAAAATATTTATATAAATAAATTAAATAGTAATTAGATTATAATAAGACTTCCTATTAAAGATACTTATATTATAAAAAGATTTAAAGAATTGTCTCTAGGTCTCTATAAGCTTATTAGCTAAAGTATTTTATTATATCTTAATATACTAATTCTTTATTAAGGGCCTATAAATAAAGGCCTTTTTCTATAGTAAATCATAACCCTTTACTAACTACCGGAGCTCGACTTATATAACTACTATAAGTAGTATCTCCTAGCCTTTATTAGCTTATAACTTTTTTGGAAAGTAATTTTATTCCCTAATATAAAGGAAATAGAACTTTAGAATAATAATCTATATATAATTTAATATACTAATAAAAATACTAATTATTATTCGAAAATATATATTAATAATACTATAAATCTAGAAGCTATAATAAGATAACTTATTATACCTATTTATAGACTAATATTAACCTGGCCCCTTAATAGTAAATCTCCTATATTTCTAATCCTTATACTTATCTTATATCTTTATCCCTATCTTGTCTAATATTCTAAGTATCTGTTATATCTTTTTACGAAATATAAATTTACTAGTATTTTTTTAGATCTAGTAATATATTCTTTTATAGCTATACTAGATTAATTAATTACTTTTTAGTTCCTTAAGAATAAATTCTTTGGCTTTCTTAAAAGTATTAATATACTCGGTATTAAATCGATTTCGTCTTAGCTAAAGCTTATAATAGTACTAAATTATTTTTAGGATATATATATTAAGCCTAGAGTAATTAAGTTTATAATTAAAGATTCAAAGTATATATTTAAGTAAATAGTTCTAATACTAGAGATAATATATTATCTTAACTAGCTTCTTATTACGGATATATCTTATATTTTACTTACTATTAATCCGGAAAGAATTTAGTATTTTATTATTATAATTAAGTAATATAGCTAGTCTTACTAGTATTAAATTCTTCTAGTTATAAAGTATATCTAATATCCTAAAAAGTCTTTTCTTAAATATAATAAAGCTCTTTAATTTGAGCTCGATATTATTCCTATAATTAAGAATTAATTCTATTAGTTCCTATAATATAGTATAATTTATAAGTTATAGTAATAGTAATTAGAAATAAAAAATAAAGAGGAAAGGAAATATATAATCTTTAAATATTAGTTTATATTAGTATAAAAATCCTATTTTCGTATTTATATAAAATATAATATTATAACTACTAAAAATAGTCTTATTTTTATATTATATTATCTAGATATATTATATCTAGATTATAAAATAATATTAATATTTTATTTCTTATATATAAAGAAAGCTTATTTTTAGTATTATATAACTATATAATTCCCTGAATCCGAGAAACTAGTATAAAATTTAGAGAGAATAATTTACTATTTATATAATTCCAAAATTATTAGGCTTCCTAATCTAATCCTATACTCTTTAGATTTAACTAGGAACTCTCTATTTATATCCTAGTATTATACTAATAGTAGACTCATAAATATAGTTTACCTAACCTGTCTATTTAGCCCGGGAATCACGTTTTATAATTTCTCTTTATAAAAGTAATATTAGTATAACAGATACTATTACCTATAAAATTAATTCTATTTTCTAATTAGCTTATTAATTCTATTATTATCTCTATTTGCGAATTTATTATTACTTTATAAGAAAAAAAGCTTGGGAAAATTAATCCGATTTCCTAGTTCATTTATAAATCCGTTCTTTTATATTTTTTAGGCTTTTATAATATAAAAGTAACTTCAAATTCATAATTACTTTTCGGGAAAAAGGTATTATAAAAAGGCCTTCTTTTTTTTCTAATTAACCCTTCTTTTCTTAACTATAATTTATATCTAATCTCCTCTTTACCTTTCTTCTTCTTTCTTTAAGTATTATTTAAGCCTTCCTTTCTATTATAAGATAAATATAATTCTTTATTATATTACTAAAGAAGTTCTTAAAAAAAAAGATATAATATATATAATATTAGTAATATTAATAACTTATATCTATCTAGTAAAGATAAATAACATAATATAGCTTAAGTATAAAGGCTTAAAGACTCGAGGTATTATAGAGAAATAGTAAGTTATATTCTTCCTATATAAAAAGCTAAAATATAGTACTAATTAAATATTAGAATAATAATTTATTAAATTTACTAAACTCTCTTTCTTTCTTAAATACCTTATAGCCTCCTCTTATTACTACTAATAAATAGTATTATCTCGAGCTTTTTAATATCCCTAATAAGATAATATAAGTTATAAAAGATATTTATAAAATACTAGAGATTTGAGATATAAAGTTTTGTCCTAAAAAGAAGCTAGCTAACTTAGATAATCCGAAGATTATAGTAAATCTAAAGATAGTATATAATTAAACTCAAGGCTATTTAGTATCTATATCTTATATTAATTATATAAAAAAGAACCCCAAAGGCCTATAGCAGAAATATATATAAATTTAGGGCAAATTCGACCAAGCCTATTATAATTATAGATATAATAATAGCGGTAAAGCATATATCTTATATTGCCTTAATATAGTACTAAAAGATCTAGCTCCTCCTAAGTCAGCCTCTATAAAACCTTAATCTTTAAAACCACAAATACTCTCGAAATAAAGTAATAAAGTAAAGAGACTAATAAAGAGAAAGAAAGAGAGAAAGAAAGAGAATAAGAATAAGAATAAAGAGAATAATAGAAATAGAGATATTTCAAATATTATAGGAAATAATAGTAAGAATAATAATAGTAAGGAAAATATACCTCGTAATCTATAGGATCTACTATATAGACTATACAAGTTAAAAGGAGGTTAATAGTAATTAAGAAGGGGGGGCAGAGGCAGGAGCGGGAATAAAGGAAATACTAGAGATATTATAGCAAAGATAAATATAAATATTAGTATATTTAGTAACTATAAATAGCTTTATTTTAGCTACCTCTATATAAGTTATATATACGAGTATAATAGTGGTTACGCCCGCAGAATGTGGTATTTTGGTTACGGGCGATTTTTGGTGGTATGCGCACGTGCCACAAATCAGACATTGAAGGTCGAAAACCAGATTCGAAAATCGCTTGGTCTTCTGATCCTTACGGCTTTCCGTAACTTCGTCATGTGGGGCCAGGTTGCAAAGTACTTGCTCAAGGGCTTCGATGCGAAGAAGCTTCCGGCGGATATGGCATACATGAGCGAATACGAGACTGTTGCCGAGGACAAGGAAGTATGCTGTGCGGCGGGAGAGGATTTGCTCGCGCATGATGCGTTGCAGGAGATCTTTGACTATCGGGCTGCGACGTCGGCGCGTGAGGTGCACGAGGCGGTCAAGGCTTCCGAACGAGCTGGCAAGTCGCGACTCGAGGCGGAGAACACGCATGCGCTGCAGCTCCATGTCGCGGCACGAGCACACATCGAAAGATTCATCCTGTCTGCTGCAGTTTGGCAACTCAACTGCCTGCCTGCCGCCACCCCGAGCGCCATCAAGACTGTTCTTGGTAGACTCATCTCTCTGTTCGGTTTGACGGCCATCGCGAGCCCACTTGAACCGTTTGCGTCCTCGTTTCTTGGCTACGGCTATATCACTAGCTCCCACCTCAAGGATATGCAGAAGCAGATCGATGACTTGCTGGAGGTCTTGCTGCCGGATGCGATTGCGCTGACTGATGCTTGGTCCTTCTCGGATGCGAGTCTGGCTAGTGCGCTTGGATGTGCTGATGGCGATATCTGTGCGCGGCTCTTGGCCTGGACTAGACAGTTGCCCATCAATGTCGAGGCTGCGAAGAATGGTGGCGTGTTCAAGAAGGGTTGGGAGGAGAACATTCGTCCGTTCTTGAACCGGGACCTGTCGCATCTCGACGTCAAGGCCAAGTTGTAAAAATTTTTTGGCGTTGTTGGGTGCATGGTTCGCTTTGCTGGGTTTGATCTGCGGAGTTTGCTTTGCATGGGAGTTGAAATGTTTGCATGCGTTGATGGAGGATGTCCCTTGCTACGTACGTATGAGCTCCGATAGATCGCTCCACGAGGAGAGTAATAGCTGATAACTAATTGCCATGACTCAACCATCAACTACAGGAGTCCACATTCCCATCTTGCCACTGATCTGCTTCACGATCTCTCGCAGCCCTCTCATCCTCTCGTCTCTTGCGGAGCAGAGGAACAGCGACGCAACAGGCCATGCATGGATCAAACTGACACTGATTTCGACGTTTATTGTAACGAACGAATCAATTATCTTGCTCCATAATGTTGAGTAGTGCAACAATCAATCGCGTCCTATTAATTTTAGCGTTAATAGCTCGACTTCGGGCGTCTGTCGCACGTGCGGTACAATACAGTACTATAGACTACATGAGATAACGAACACGTATGGTGTCAGCGCCAAAAGTGCACCACAGGCATGCGGGATTAGTCAGCTTACCCACTTGCGGGGCCAGTTCCTTATGTACCGTCCCCGCCCCGTAAGGGCACCTCCCTGGCTAAAGAACTGCATAAGGAACCGTACCAAAAGTTTACCCCAATTATTAGGGCTGAAAATCTGCCCCAATTATTTAGGCTCAAGATAGCCCCAATTATTGGGGCTTAAGATTAACCCCAATTATTAGGGCTCAAGATTAGCCCTAATTATTAGGACTCAAGATCAGCCCCAATTATTAGAGCTTAAGATTAATTCCAATTATTAGAGCTTAAAATTAGCTCTAATTATTAGGACTTAAAATAGCCCTAATTATTAGAGCTCAAGATTAGCTCTAATTATTTGGGCTCAAGATTAGCCCTAATTATTAGGGCTTAAGATTAATTCCAATTATTTAGGATTATAATTAGCCCTAATAATTAGAGCTTAAAATTAATCCTAATTATTTGGGATTATAATTAGCCCTAATTATTAGGGCTTAAGATTAACCCCAATTATTTAGAATTATTAGGGCTCAAGATTAGCTCTAATTAATTAGGCTTATAATTAGCTCTAATTATTAGAGCCTATAATTAACCCTAATTATTAGGGCTAAAAATCTATTCTAATTATTTGGGTTTATAATTAACTCTAATTATTTAAGCTTATAATTTATTTTAATTAATATAAATATGATTTTTTTTAATATTATATAAAAAATAAAATAATTTTTATTTTATATTTAAAATATAATTTCTTATAATTAATTTTTTAAAATTTTTTTTTATATAAATACTTTATTAATAAAAAACTAATATTTAAATTTAATATAAAAAAATAATTCAAAACTAGTATTAAAATCTTATTTAATATATATACTTTTATAATTTCTTTTTATTTAATATAGACTATTTTTTCTTTAATTTAAATTAATATATATTTAATAAAAACTAATATAAATTTAAAATAATAAAATTAATTAATTATATATATAATATAAATTAAATTAAATAACTAGAAATCCGAATACTTATTAATATTATTTTTAAAAAAAAATAGAAAAAATTCAATTTTTTAATAAATATAATATTTTATTTATAATTATTAATAATTATTAAAGCTTTTGTTTTTTTTAAATAGCTTTAATAATTTAATAATAATATATTAATAATAATAATATATTAATAATAATAATATATTAATAATAATAATATATTAATAATAATAATATATTAATAATAATAATAATTATTTAATTTTAATAAAAGGCAAAAAATAAGCTATTATTATTAATTTTATAAAAACTAATTTATAATATTATTATTATTCCTAATAGTATTATAAATATATTTATTAAATAAAGAAATAATATTTGCTAGCTATTTAATAATACTTATAAAAAACTTACTAGTATAGCTAATATTTTTGTTATTTCTTAAAAAAAAAAGAAACTAGTTTCAAGTAATATTTTCTTAAAGTATTTACAAGTAATAATATAGGCAATTATTAACTTCCTAATATAAGTTAAGTTATTTAGCTAAAAGATATAATAATTATCTTATTTCTTAACTTATATATATATTTTATAAATAATATTAACTCGGGTATTATTAAGATAAAAGAATTTATATTATCTTTAATATATATTAAATAATACCTTTATAATATAAAATAAATTATTAATTGAATTATTTAATTATAAAAAACTAATTAATATTTTATAATCTTAAATAAATATTATAGAGTAATTATATACTAATAATTATATATAGGCTTATATAACTATATTTACTATATTTAAGCTTTAGTATTCTATATTATATTTTCTTTCTTCTAGATCTATTTATATATTATTATTATTATAATAATAATAATAATAATAATAATAAAGAAAGTTTTATATTAATTATTTATAAAATATATTCTTTTTTTCTTTACTATAAATAACTAGTATTAAAATATTAAAGATATTTAAAAAAAATAAGACTTATTTCTTTTATATTTAGTTTCTCGAATTTATATTTATAATATTTGCTTATTAAAGCTAAATTCGAATAAAGAACTGCTTTAAAGAATAGAAACTGGAATTTCTATTATTTTATAAAGCTATTTCTTTAATAATTTCTTATTACTAAGTTAATTTTATTAAAATAAAATAATTTAATTAATAATAATATAATAAGCTTTTAAAATATCTAATTATAAGTAAATTATTAACTATTTTTAAAAGCTATACTTTATAGCTATAAAAACAAGTTAATTTAATTATTTATTAAAACATTTATTAAATATATATAATATTTTAATATTTTATAATATTAGTAAAATATAAAATTAATAGCTTTTAAAAACTCTCTATTACTCGATTTATTAATATAGTAAGTATTTATTTACAAATTATATAATCTATTATATTTAGCTTATTTTTTATAGAACTAAATTTTCTTATATCTAATCTTATTTTTATGTATAACCTCATTTATATTTAACTCTTATATATATAAAAGAATAATATATTCGGGAATCTTATTATTAATAAAGTTTTTATTAGACTAAACTCGCTATAATTATTATATTTTAGGAAATATATTATTTAAATAAAATTTAAAAGAAATATTAATAAATAATTAATATAAAATAAATTATTCTTATTAAATTAAAAGTATTATATAATTTAGCTAAATAATAGCCTTATATATAATATTATTATATATTATTATTTTAAATATATTAGATGAGCTAATTATAGCTAATTATTTTAGAAAATTATAATAGCTATTTAAGTTATTTAAAAGAGGCTTATATATAATTAAATTTTTTATAGTTTTTCTATTATATATTTTATTAAAAATATATTTATTAGAACTTTATATTTATTTAATTTAATAATATAAATAATTAGTAATAAGCTAGTAATTATTTATATAAATTTAATATAATATATAATATAATATTATATAAGTATAATAAAATTACTTAATACTTTATATCTTTTCTTTATTTAAATAAATTCGATATATAGGTTTTCTTATATTAGAAGTTTTTAAAACTTGAAATTATATTTTTTCTTAAAAGAGCTTTTATATTATAATTTCAAAATTTGAAAATAAGCTAATAGTTATAATAAAATAAAAGGAAATAACTAAAGAGGCTTTTAATACTATTAATAAAAGAATTAATAATATAATTATAACTATAATATCTTTTTATTATAAATCGAATTCTTATAGAAAAATAATTAAAGAATAATTATAAACTAATTATAATTTTATATATTTATAAAATAAAGATATAAAACCTCTAAATTATAAAATTATTTTAGTATATAAAATTTTTTAATATATAAAAATAAATATTAGTTCTATTTTTTAGGCTAAAATGTTTTTAATATTAAGGATCTAACTAAAAAGATTAGAATATTATTAGTTTTATTCTTTATATTTAAAAGCTAATATTAATACGAAATTATATACTATAATACTATTTCTAAAAGAAATCTTTTAAAAGAATTTTCTTAGAAAATTACGAGTCTTATAAAAAATTATTTAAAAAGGTATAGCTTCTAGGAAATTTCTTATAAGAGCTATATTTTTTCAAAAGCTATAATTCCCCAGAAATCTTATTATAAGACTTATAATTTCCTAATAAATTTCTCTTAACTTATAGCTTATAAGAAAAAGATCTCAGATTATAGTTTTAAAAAGCCCGATTATAAAAGCTTTTTTCTAGTTATTATAATATTTCAAGAACTTTTTATTAAATTAGTAATTTTCTTCTATAAATAATAAAGAAAGACTTATAAAGTTATATATAATTTATAATTAAATAAAAGAATACGAATTAATAAATTAGATCTTTATAGAAAATATATTAAAAAGTATATAAATCTAAAGTTATTATATTAAAGAAGTTCTAGGCTTTAAGCTTTATTACTTTAATTATTTATATTATCTAATATTAATTAAAGCAAAACATATAAAAGTATAATTTCTCTAATTAAAATATTAGAAAATATAGTTTTTATAATATATATAAGAAAATATCTTATTTAAATATTATTACTATTTCTTTATTTTAAAAATAGAAATACTAAAATAATATTAATTAAAAACTAATAGAAACTTTATAATTTCAGGAATTATAAAACTTTTATCTAGTTTTATAAAAAGAATAAAAACTAAATAAAATTATATATTATAAAAATAAATAGTATTATAAAGAGCCTTATAAAGCTTAGTTTATTTTTAGATTTAAAGAAGTTCAAATTTAGTTCTTTATTACTTGAATTTAAAGAAGCCGATTTAGGCCTTTTATTATCTAATTAAATTCTTTTTTTAGCTAAGATTTTAGAGAATTAAAAGTTTAAATATAGCTTTTTATTACTTTAATTTAAAGGAAATTAATTCAAGTTTCTTATTATATAATTATAAATTTAGAATTAGCTCTTATATTCTTATTAGTAATTATATAAAAGTTCTTAAAAATGATTTTTGAAATACAGAATCTTTAATAAAATATAGCCCAGAATAATAAATAATTCTTAAATACTTTAGACTTAATACTTAAAATATATTAAAATTTATTTATTAGTTTACTAGAAATATATAATACTATTTATATAAGTTAGTAAAGTTATTATTATTTAGAAATAAGAATTATAATATTATAGT